AATACCGAAATCTCGAGAATTAAACATCGTAACGAGAGAATTATTCATTTACTACGCTCACAAACCACTCTACTAAATGATACCTTTAAACATAAGTAGAAACAATCGACATCAAATCTATGTATTATTCAAACGACAAGGATCTTTAGGAGAGGTAATGAACTTATATATTCAACTGTTTCAGAAACATCTCATGGAGCCACAAACGCAAGAAATGCTAAAAATGGCCTCAGATTACGATATCAAATTGGCAGATCGATCTTTATTCGATGTCCAATATGACCTCGATCGCCTACTTTAAACCCTACCACCTACAACCACTTGATATCAACCTACCTCAAGATACTGAAGCAGCCAAGATAGTCTTCCCTCATCCATCAATGATGATGCCATCGTTCAACGGACCAGCCTGCACCACAGAACAAAGAAATTCTAACGGACACTCTTAATCCACCACGAACTTTAAACTGTTACCCTAGACCAGTGTTTCTCAACGGGGGTGATATCGCCCCCATGTGGACGTTTTTCCATGTTGAGGGGGCGATTAGTAACAATTTATATTTTGGGGGCGAAAACCAATTTTCTGGGCAATATAGTAAAACATTATATTAATTAAGAATAATTAGATATTTTTTTCGTTATATCGTACAATAATTAAACAAATAACATTATACTAGTCACTAGTCTATTCAATGCATGCGAATTTGGTGTTAGCCTTGTCCCTCGGCATCGAAATTTTGTAGTGAAGGGGGCGATACTACGTAACGGTTTTATTGAAGGAGCGACGATTCGTTAAAATTAGAGAAACACTGCCCTAGACCCAGGTCAAGAATATCAACCAGCTAATTAACCGACCATTTTGTCGCGAGTCTGACACGCGCCGGGATTTATTTGTATGTATCCACAGTGTTAAATTTCACATCAAATTATTTTATTATAGTGGCGTGACATATTGATGCAGCCAACGAGCCACAAAATTGTTGTCGAGAGAGAGAAAAAAAATCAAACCGATCATTCCCTATGTAAACATACCTCTAACTGCAGATTTGATTGACAGAACATATTACAATCACACTATTAATTAATTTAAAGTGCGTTTTTAAAGAAAGCATGAAGTAAATGTGCAATCCGGAATTTTTATCGATGTTTCCCTAATTATTTCCCTTCCTATTGCCTAAAGATTTGAAAAGAGAAAGAAACATCATCGCTGGGAAAATTTTATAACCCTCCTTTTTAAAGGTAAACATTCACCCATCCAGGCACTCATTTTCATACTGCAAGACTTAAAGCTTACAATTAACGTCCGATTTCGTCACTTTATTTTGATCCCGGGAACACCTTTACCTCCACACCGGCTCCAATAACCTTTACCTCCCACAACAGGGCATCATATGACATATTTTCCCATCACGAAGTTATAAAAGCCGCTTTTCTCCCCCCTCAGGAGACTCTCTCACCAACGGCGGACGAGTAGAAGCCGGGCCCTATGGAGAAGCTATTGTCGGAATTTTTAGTAAGTGCAGCCTACGACGTTAAGTCGCGATTCTCTTAACTCTGTGCCTCCAGCTTCGGACCCTCGTGGAAATAATCAAGAGATGAACTCGAGCGTGTAAACTCTCTCTCGGCCCTTCCTTGTACTCGAAAGTTAGAAAATCTCGACAGATATTGTAATCATCCAATTGTTTAATAATAAATCTTTGTTTCTTTTAAAAAATGGTGTCTATTGCTCGTTCATAGCCGACGCCTTACCGAACCCCTCTCACCTCCTCCACTCGACCTGACAAAAAGACTCCCGACCCCTGGAGACAGTGGCGTAGCGGGAGCGGCAAAATTTCACAATAAATAATAATATCATCTTGTAAAAATTTTAACCCATAGTCTCGTCGCACCTACGATTCGGACCGATTGAAATGAGCACGGAATAGTCAGGGAATAGACTAACCGTCCGGGTGAACTCGTGCGCACAGCCTGTCGACCTTTTTTTTTTGCTTGTACGATTCATTTCTTTTCATACACACCTCCAATATTCAATGGAGTTATTTTGAACAGGTGGCTACACTGGCAAGGAAATTTTCATTACTAGTTCTTCTGTTACGAAACTGAATTTTAGTCTTTTAAATTGAGATACCTAAATAACGGGACGGCGAAATTTTCCTCCGCCCTGGGCGGCTGACACCCACGCTACTCCGCTGCCTGGGGATCATAGAACGTAAATCAGCCATCCTCGGACAACTGGGCAGGTTTAACCAACCTGTGGCAACAAAAAGAGGTACGACCTCGTCATACCTCCAGCGTCCCACAATAGTGACAGTTGGAATAACTAAATTATTAAAACCATGGGTAAAATAAAACTGAAAAAAAATTATTAGAAAATTAATATTTACAAATACGTAAATAAATAAATGTAATTAATACTCTTAAAATAATAAGATAATTAATACGTATTAATTATCTTATTATTTTAGGAGTATTAATTACTACATTTATCCATGGTTTTAATAATTTAGTTATTCCAACTGTCACTATATTAGGTAATTACATTTATTGACAAAACTTTTCTATGCCTACATTATATATATTTTCACACATTCTGTAAATTCTTACATGATTTTTTACCAATATATTTAATAAAATATGAATGAAGAGGAGTAATAAGCCCAAAATGCATATCATTTTAAATTATAGAAAATAAACCTTCTTTTTCCACTCAAAAAGAGTTCCTGTGTGATTAGTTCTCAACAGCAACCTGTGCTAATTCTGAAGGAAATACAATAACATTTGTGTAAATGTTACCGCTAAAGCTCGAAATCCGTTAATGTGCGCATTACTTAGCTAATCTGCAGATTAACTAGGGTGATCCGTTAAAGCTGCGAAAATTATTCTATTTCTCAAATTACCTAGGTAATGTTCAGATTATCTAGGTAATCTGCAAATTACCTACTAGGCATTCGGTAAAGTGAAAATAACATTTTTGCTGGAACAACAGCAACGTTTCTGTACGCTTAAATTAACATAATGTTATTTATTTAATTTTCAATATCTAAAGAATCAAGTTAATACAATCAACAAATTAGTTGATTGAATCAATCATCAATCAATTAAAAAAACTTTAATACAAAAATCAAACGGTTTAAAATATTACTACAATTAGGGAAATGAATTTGCAAAACATATGATAAAATTGTACTTACTTATTAGTGCAATCTAAAGATTGGTGACACTTTGAATTACGTAGCAATTGGTTTTTGCGACAAGCACGCCTATTTGTGGTACATTTAGATTTGCAGTCACATTTTCTGAAACCCTGCCCAGTACCAAGGGATTGTTTTATTGCTGTTTGACGTAAAGATATTTCTACAGCAGGGACATCCATCTTCTTTCGTTAAAAATCTCTCTTTGCAAACACTGAATTCAGATTTTGCATACAATTGTTTTAAAATACCTGTTTTAGTATCAAGTTTATAAAAGCCATCCTCTGTTTTACTAAGAACCACAGCTAAAATTGAACGTGCATCAGTTTTTGCTCTGTCTTCTTCGGGTACTTTAATTCTCACAGCGAAACCTTCATCGACGTTTGGGTGCTTTGCATTAGAAACTGCTAACATTTTCTTTGCTTGCTTTTCTAAACATTTCTTGGCTTCATCACGCTGTATTTTCTGATCCATATTCTTTTTACAGATGATGCACAATACATTCTTACCATACCCTTCCTCTTTAGGATCTACTTCACCACAAACTGCGTGAACAAACATATTACACGATTTACACTTGTGAGCACTTGATGCTGCTTTTGAGCAAACAATACAGACTATGTCTTGTATAGTGCTCTTTACAGGCTCCGTACGAAACTGTGATGGCGATTCTGCTGAAGTTGAGAGTAACTCAGTGATGACTTCTTCAACTTGCAGAGGCGATTCCTTGGAGGTGCAGGGTAACTGAATATTCTTCGTGACTGCATCATCAATCAACGGTATAGAAGGCAGTTTAAGATTACTATCGGTAAATTCTTGTATTTCTATAGGTGATTCTGTAGAAGCGGGGGATAACGGAATGTCCTCTTGAGTAAGATTTGACTGTGATCTCATAATCACAGTCTCTTGTGAATCTTCTAATTTTTCAAGGTCTTCTTCAGTTTTTATCGAATGTCAAACAATTCTCCGGCATGGACAAACTTTTTCAAACCTTTCTCGCGCATCTGACAACGGCTCAATGAGTTTTTCACAGCCTCGTACAGTCAACACATCACACCTTTGAATTATTTGATAATCTCGAGATGATTCTTTCTTCTTGGAAACTTTTATTTGCTTTACATCTTCAATTATGGAATCATACTTTGGTTTGTTATTAAAACACTACGTATTATATTTTAAATCTTCGCTAAAGAGGTTTGCGAAGAATCTTTTCTTGATTTTACTCACCAATTCGGTGCTTGCTTGCATTCTAGGATTTAAATTTATCTACGTAAAAAGAAGGAGTGGGGAAAGGAAGTGAAAGAAACAAACTTTTGAACTTTAACGATACGGAAGCCGTTAATGTGCAGATTACCTAGATACTCTTCAAATTACCTAGGTAATTTGAGAAATTGAACAATTTTCGCAGCTTTAACGGATCACCCTAGTTAATCTGCATATTAGCTAGGTAATGTGCACATTAACGGATTTCGAGCTTTAGCGGTAACATAAATATAAAAAACATTTTGGTTTCGTCAAAAACTGAATCATATTTAATTTAAATAATTGTAAATGTGTCTGAAAAAGCTTTTCTCTTGAAAATTTGTCAATGACATAATATTTATTTTCAACAGTTTGAAAAAAAAATTATTATTATGCTAAACATTACAAATATTGACATTTTTTATTCAGTATCATTTGCAATGTACTGTATGAATTTATATTTGACAAACTGGATTTGAGAAGTCAATTTAAAGAATTTACAATAAAAAAAAAAATTAAAATTTAGAATTTAAATCAAGAAAGTATTTTTAATAAAATAATAATAACCTCTGATCTTTCAGGAAAAAATGAAGTGTCAAACCACGATCTTCTACTAAACCACCAATCAAAATCATTTTCTAAACCTCTAACATCTAGCATTGTTCGATTCATGTTGATCTGTAAATAAATAATTCAGATATTGATTTTCATAATTCTATTTTATAAAAGTTTTATAAAAAGAAAAGATGACTTAATTATTTCCTTACATAGGAATAATTTAAGTTTAAATATAAAGTCGACCCTCCTATAACACTGTTGATAATTTTGTTTTATATGAATTCCATGTTGTATGAGTCACTTAGATTTTACAAATACATGAGCCATTCACAGCCCGGCACACATATTTGTAAAATCTAAGTGACTCGTACAACATGGAATTCATATAAAACGGAATTATCAACAGTGTTATAGTGGGGGGATCGACTGTATTTAATTCATCTAATTAAATAAAATATTCAAATATGTTCTATTTATTGAGCTAATCAATTTTTCCATTGCATAAAATAAAAACATTCAAGAGAAGCATTTTACATTAAATTATCATCTCTCTATTTTTCTATACTTTTATTAAACTTAAGAATTGAAATGAGAGATACAAATTGGCACGAATATTAAAGTATTCACATTATACTTTTGATGTTATGTCACATTTCGAAACTTAAAAATCAATTTAGAACATGTTATTTGAACATTCAATCAGTATGTGTTTTAAATCATAAAAATCTCATAACAATTATACAAAAATGAATTCTTTAATTAAGAAAACCAAAGTAAATTACATATAATGATGATACATTCTTAACGTGAAAAGTATTTATCTTCAGCTTAATTTTTCCAAGTGTTGTAAATGCTTTTTGAATATGAATATGTTGGTATTACTTTACATAAATATCACTCACAAAAGCAAAAATCTAGTTTGAAGATCAAAAACGTAAAATGGAAAACAAATGTTTTCAATTGCTCAAGGCAACTGAAAACATTCATAGTAAAAATTTTGGGTGATGACTTTTCATCCAGTATACCATGTATTTATTACTTGGTATTAATTTACATTCAAATCATATAATTTTGATTAATTTACATTCAAATCATATAATATATTCAGATAATTCAAATCATCAACAAGTGCATTCAAATCATATAATTTTATTTTCAAAAAAATAAATATGTTTTTTTAAAGATTTAAAAAGAAAATAAGATTGATCACACTTCTAAAATTTAAAACTTTATTTCAAGTTACAGTATTTTTCTAAAATTGATTTCTCTACATTAATCCAATGTTTAATAATATCTGAAGATATTGTATTAACTTTACGACAAAAATATTTTTATACATTTAAATTAAATTTTTATATATTTAACAAAAATTTAATCAATAAATATGAATTTTGTATTATATATACAAAAAATATTATAAATAAACTGAGTAGATATTAAATTGAAAGCATACAATCATGTAAATACATCATATAAAATGCACTACAAATAATCTTCATATCACATTCTAACTTAATAGAGAAATAAATTAAACCTTAAAAATTGAATCTTTTTTAAAAGTGGTTAAACTTTAATCAGATATATAAAGCACATTTTAGCAAAACTGCATTTGTCATAAACTACAGTACTCCCACTCAAACCTTTAAAAACACAGATTATTATTAATTTTTCAAAATGCATTTTTAAAAGGTTTGAGTGGTAATACTGTAGTTTACATATGAATTATTAAATCAAATTTTAATAATTGAATGTAACAATCAGTTTAAAAACAGTAAGTGTTGATGTTAACAACATTTATACTTCATTAAAACAAGTTAAAAAAAACTTTATGATATGTATTATATATAAAATGAAGAATTTTCAATCCATATATATTACATAAAATGAAAAAAACTAAACTTTAATACAAATCTCCCTAATTTATATAAAAGTTCTAAAAAATAATAAAATATGAAGCTTTTTATTTAATGATAAAAAAATTAAACAATAAATCTGTATATTTTCATCTTCAAATTAATAAGCTATGTAAAAAAATTAAAATTTTGATGTTTTAATAATAAAAAATGATCAATCAAATATTAAATAATTTATATTACAAACAATAGTTATTCTGTTAAAGTATAGACCTATTTATTTAAATGTAGTAGTCTAATCAGTGTACTCCAAAAATACCATTACACAGTGATATAAAAAGGAAATATTTTAGTGAATGCTAAACATAGCAAATGATCCATTTGAATCCTACTTGCAATCCAGTAACCCATTTCACTGCATTAGGTCACATAAAAAAAAACTCTCTAGTTACAGCATGAATCATCACATCAATGACTGTTACATTATTTATAAATTGAATGTCAAGATGTAATTAAAACAATAAACAACAATAAGAATACAAAAGTAATTTATAAACTTTGAGGAATTAAAATTGATATATGAAGATTTTCAACACATGAAAATAATTAGAAAATGCATAAAACATTAATTAGCCTATATATACATAGGAAAATGACCCAATTCTTTCAAATTTTTCTATAATGTATGGAGTTTTGAAAAAGAATATACTCTTAGTTCATTTTTAATTTTTAGAAACAAAAATAACTTTTATTTAAGTGTAATAACATAGTAGAATCTACTTCATGTTAATTATGGATATTATCATCAGTCATCTAATGTTATCAAAATTAGCAAGTCTTAAAACAAATTAAAACATATCTATAAAACATTACTTATTGTAATCAGAGTTTATTATATTTATTATCTTCAGTTATTTTTAAGCTTTCTTTTTTCACTAAAAAACTCAATATATGGCTTATAAGACCAATAACTGATGATGACTACGTTAACTAACGCTTTAAATGTTAATCATTTTAATCATTATTTGTTAGCAGTACAATACTTTAAATTGTGGTACTGGGAGAAATTAAAAATTTTAAATACTGCAAATTTAACTTAATTGCAATTTTAACAGGTTGAGAAGAGGGAAAAGTCACACTTAGATAACAACACAGCTCAAGCTCTTTCTAAATTATAAGCATTTCATTTATTTATTATTGAAAGCTTATTTCCCAGAACATAAATGTAAAACTGCTCTAAAAGCTAAGGTTTATGTTAAATTTATCTTCTAAAATTAAAATGGGTTTGTCTTGTAATCCTTCCATTTTCTTGTCATAGGCCCAGTGCCGGATTAACCAATAGACAAATAAGACAATTGTCTAGGGCCGTAATTTGGAGGAGCCAGGGGTTAAGGGTTGATTAATGACTATAATTATGTGAGAACCCTGACTTCAAATTAAACAATTTCAATTAAATAGTAATATAACTTTTCAATAATATAACGTAAAATCTTCCATTCGGATTATCGTCGTCTCCAATTCGGAATATAATCATCGCCGATATGGCCAATATTACTGCCTCCCATAACAGAATATAATTAGTGCCTCCAATAAGGGAATATTCTCTTCTTCAGCGGAACACAGGCGGAAGACAGGAAGATTTTCTATCCGTTATGGGAGTGGGAACTGAGGAACTGGAGTATCGAGGACCTGTAGGTCCTCGATACTCCAGTTCCTCAGTTGCCACTCCCATAACGGATAGAAAATCTCTGCCTGTCTTCGAACTGTTCCCAGTGAGCAAACTCTCATGCGTGTGAACCTCTCTTCAAGGACGATCATTTCGTTTACCAACGACTTTCTTCTACTCCAGGTAATTATGATAACACACAATTTCACGTAAACTCTCTCTCATGAAAGCGACGTGTTTGTCTCTATTTTATCCTGCTATATTGGAAACATGTAAATTCATTGAAAAATAAATGGGTATTTGTTAACCTAGTATCCGAGTGACTCACTTCTGTCTAGCTGGCTCATAAATCTCCTCCATCCGGAATCCGATTGCTTATGCACGCAACCGCTCGCGAGACCAAAGTCCAAAAATGAAAGAAAGGGGGGGGGGAAACAAACTGCCATCGTGGTTGATAGAGACACAGTGGTGTCATTCTGACGTGGTGCCGACCCTCCGGTCACAATTATATATCTTTTTATATATTTTTCATTATACCAGAAACTGCTTATGTTTGTTGTTTGGGTTCATATATATGGTCCCATCAGCCCCATGCGAACCACTTTTCTTCCTTTCCTCCTTTCTTCCTTCCTTTCCCTCCCCTCCCTTCTCTCCTTTTACTTTCCAGGCTATGCTGAAAAGCGAGGCCGTCACTACTTTAACTGTATACCAGAAACTCTTTTATTATACAATTATTATTGTTTAGTGTTTTTATTCACTATTATTAATAAAAATTTTAACTGATATATTATTTCAGATTTATTTAGAAGCAACTTATTTAAATGGGGCCTAATTTAAATTTTGTCTAGGGCCCGATAGAAGCTTAATCCAGCACTGCATAGGCCATTGTGTTAACAGATTCATAATGAGTCTTGCAAGCACCAAAAAATGCTTACTCATTCTTTTATTGATACACCTAAAAATAACACTTATATAATAAAAATCTTTTTCATGATTAAATAGTTTTATTAAATATATTCCCTTTGTCTTTATCTTGTATGATATCCTTATTCAAACATAAATAATCTATCATCCTAGGCACTCTGCATAATTAAATTATTATTGCAATAAAAAGTTTCAAAGTGAAGGATAAATCCCTATTTATGATTACACAGCACTTATTAATCTTTTAATTGTGAGAAACTTAGGACTATCAATATGTAACTGAAATTTATATTGTGCTTTATCTAAATCCAAATAACCTTCAGAAAGCCATGATCTATCACTATCTACAAGACAGTATTTAGTTTTGTTTAATAAGAAAGATGGAAATAGAACTAAAGTCAAATTAACATTCAAAAGTTTGTGCAAAATTGCATTAAACAAATGCCAGTGGATATATGAAGGAATGAACAAGGGTTTTGAAGTTTTGAAAATTTAGTTTCTATACATTGTTGTTCTAATCCTAATACCAACTTTATTATTATTAATGTCTTCCAATGGCATGCAGTGACATTTGATGATAGGAAAGCTGCACCAATCCTGGATAGAATCATTGGAAGCATTATACGATATTTTGATGTTAAGCTGAACTGTGTGAGGTTGGTGCTCTGTAAAGCACA